TGTATCCTTAATTACACTTTCAGTTTCTCACACTAGAGAAACTATTTGGTATTTACACATGTGTGTCCTATTTATTTCACTTAAGAGGATGGCTTCATTGTGCATGCATTTAGCTATAAATGTATCTACTTTCTCATACTTTATGGCTGAGTAGTACTCCATTTTATTAAAAAAATACATCTTCTTTATCCAGTTTCCAGGTAATGAGCTCTTGGGTCTTATTTCTTTTTGAAACAGGTTTTCCCTAGGTCTCCCACGCTGACCTTGAACTCGTGATTCTCTGGCCTCAGCCTCCCTGGTAGTTGGGATCCCAGGTGTGCATCACTACATCCAGCTTTTTTCCTGCTTTTTCAACAGATCAAACACAAAGCCTGTACCCCTCTCACCAATTTCCAAACATTGCCATAGCAGCTAAGCAGTGTGACTGCTCTTGATGCCAACACCCAAAAGGGCAAAGAAAACTGATTTTCTTTTTGTTTTCTTCATTTCCTTTTTTTTCCTCCTTGAGACAGAGTGTAATAAGTGCTGATGAAATCCATAAATTATCAACCGACATAAATAATCCGGAGGATGTGGATGTCACCACCTGCTCCCCCTTTGATGCCAATCAAATTACAGAGTGGAGCTCTTCATTCATAAATTTAAGCTACACAAAGAAACAAATAAGAGGACATTGAAAATCTACTTACAGGTCAACACCCTTAGGAGAATCTTATTCTCAAATTTCAGAATTCAAGATTTGGAAGAGGCAGCTCTAACTCCACAGTAACAGAACAAAAGCTCCACAATGCTAGGCAAACATTGACCTGCCCAGAAGTTAATAGTTTACCTTCTCCAGTGCCCAGGACCAGACTTTGTACCCTGATGAAATTGCTGGGCGTGGTGTCACTCACCTGTAATCCCAGCACATGGGGACCTGAAGCAGGAGGATAGTCCCAAATTCAAGGCCAACCTGGGCTACATAGTGAGACCAGGCCACAGTCCTGCCTCTGCCATCCTGCGCTGGCCAAGTGGAATGAATGCCTTGGCAGGGCACCAGCCTGGGCTGCACCCAAGCCAGTATTGCTGGGTTTTGTTCAGAGGCCAGGGCATCACAGAAGCACAGCCTCTGTCCCCTCACCAGGAGCATGAGGCCGAGGTGGCTCTGCTTCTGCTCACCCTGTGATGCCAGGACCCTCACCTGGCTTGGAAGCCCACCTACTTCTGCCCCCTTGGGTGCCACCCTCCCACCGCCTCCTCTCTGGGGCACTGAGGCTCGGGTGGTGACTCTCCCCAAAGGCCCAAGGCTGAAGGCTTGGCTTGTTTAGTCAGCGCATGTTTGTGTACATAATGATCACAGTGGTGATGTGTGGTGGGTATGTGTACATAACACCCCTCAGCTAGTTTAAATCCCCCTTTCTTGCCCATCTGCCCCCATCTCTCACTCTCTCTCTCTCTCTCTTTTTATACTGGGGATTGAACTCAGGACCTTGTGCTTGTGAGGCAGGCGGTGGCACCACTGAGCTAAATCCCCAGCCCTTCCCTCCATTTCTTGATCCCTTTACCACTTGAAAAAAATCTCACTAGTTCTCATTATCTTTTATTTTGCTTTTTATTAATATTTCAGATTTCTAATGTAAGAAAAACCATGCAATATTTAAGCTTGTGTATGATTTATTTCTCTTAACAGTATGGTCTCAAGGTGCATCCATTTTCCTTCAGATGACTCAGGTTTATCCTTTTTGTGGCAGAGTAGTACTCCTTTGTGCATAAATATCACATTCTCTTTATCCATTCATCTGTTGATGGGTTGTTCCCAAGGTTTAGTTAGTAGGAATTGTGCTGCTATAAACATAGATACACATGTATCACTGTAATGACACGTTTATAACTCTTTTGGGAAGATCCCTAGGAGAATAGCTGAGTTGAAAGGAATTTTTTTT